AAAGAAAAAGAAAAAGAAAAAGAAAAAACAAGGGCAGATTGAAACCATTAAATTTCTCATTCTTCTTTGAACTCCACCTCCACTGTGCCTCTCACCTGCAAGGCTCGCCACGTTGATGAAGTTGAGCGCGAGCTGCCCCCATCCCCGTATGCCATAACAGCCCACTTGCACGCTATTAGTGGCTGAGGCATGCTCTCCCCCATGTCGATAGCACGCTCAAGGCACACAATGAGACTGCGTGTGTGTCATGTCTCGCATGTCAGCTATGGCAAGTCAGTTGTGAGAAGCTTCCTTAAGAGTTACCAAATGTGATGTGCCGTTTAAAGGATAACCCCCCCGAGATGTCATATTCCATGTGCACTGCTTGTCCTCTATTTCCAGGAGCTGACTTTAAATGGAATGCGGAACTGGGTTGTCTTTCTTGGGATCCAGTTTGCAACGCTCCAGGGACTCAGTTACAAGGTGGCTCCGGGCTTACCTGGAAAATACAATGTGGTTGTCATTATAACGTTTGCATGCACAGAAGCCAAACGTCTGCACATGCTCTATTTTCGGCCTTCTGGGAGCCAAGTAGACTGTGGACTCCTCTCAAAGCCTTACTCTCAACAAGCTGGGCAGGGATAATTGTGTTGTGAAACAAATCCTTAAATGACTCTGTCATGGTTAGCTCGTGTTGGCTCCAGATGTACTGCATTCCACCTCCCTGGATGTTAAGAAAAGTAGTGCTCGGTAGAAAACGGAGCCACATCAGCTCGGTGGCATCATCGCCAACAAGATGAAGCAGCAGCATGGGGAGGAGGAGGGGGGATATTTCTGACTGTTGGTGTCAAACTCGCCGGCAGGAGCGTGAACCCACAGATAAATGAAGTCGCTTCCTGCCAGCCTCAGCAATTATATAGACAGAGTGACTGTTTCGCAGAATTAGCACGGGTAGCAGGGAAGCTGCACGAGCTGAGAGGAAGGATGAAGAATTGTGAAACGAGAGAGGTAGGAATACTGGAGGACTGAGGGAGGACCGAGGGAGGACTGAGGGAGGACTGAGGGAAGACTGAGGAAAGACTGAGGGAGAACTGAGGGAGGAGGGAAAGTACTTAGTTAAGGAGTGAGGGCACTGTTAGCCCCTGGGAAAGGTTTGAGAATCTCTGCAGAAACCACTTTCGACTAACTGGGGGCCCTTCTAAAACCCTTGCCATACCCTCCCCTTGGCAAGTATGTTTCTTGAGGCCCCTGTTCCCAGGTGACATCCCAACGCCCATCTTAGAGCTCTCCCTCGGAATATAGGGGCCCATTCAACTGGGGGAGGAGTTGAGGAGGGACCCAAGTTCTTCGGATCCCCTTCAAAAACCTTTGCGTGGAATATTCCAGAATATGTCTAATGCTGGTCCCCAGCCCCTTGGAACCCCAATCTGTCCGAACCCCTGCCAAAACACCTCACCAAAATAACCCATATTAATGGAGTGGCCCTGTTCTTTGGTTTCGCAGGTGACACCCCTACCTTGAGGGAACCTAATTACCGTCCCGATTGTGGGGATCACTTCGTCGTACCCACTCTTGCACTTACAGTGAGTCTGTGTATGAATCTTTCAGATAAGCACCGTAGGTGGATGAAAACACAGTTGACAAAATGCACACCACACAAAAATTCACAATAATTGTTCTGCTGATGATCTAACAAGCATTACTCCCCTTTCCCTTTCTCTTACAAGGGCAAAAGTTGTTTGTAAGTTATAAATACAACTGAATTTGCACTAATTTMATTCAAGAATTTAATGAATAATAGAAAGAGATATGTATATACAAGATAAAATATACAAGACAAATACAATAAATTAAGAGTATAGAATTAAGAATATTGTAATAATATGAATAATATAGAATAAAACCGTAAGGTGGTAATCATTGTAAGGGAGGCCATTCCATTCAGTTTACCTGTGGCATCTCTCTATGTCGAACCCAAACTTCAGGATCAGTAATGACTTCAGAGATTTCCCCTTCTCATCTCGCAATGGATAACCACGTCTTGCAACAGTTCCTTGAAAGCCATCTGGCGGAACAAGATCTTTAACAAGGTCTTGAAATCGGAGAGTGACGGATCCAAGAAGAGTATCACCACCAGCATCTGGTCGCGACTGCATTCACATCCGTGTCCCAGAAGCACAATTACACATCACATAAAAACAATTACTTTGTATACAAGGCATCAAGAGATGCTTTCTACTCTTTTTTCCTTCTTTTTAACTCACCTGAGTTGAGGGGGATCAATTCAGTATCAGTGGGCCTAGCTCAGTTGGCACAGTCATGAACTGTTGAAATATAGACCTCAGCTGTTTTCTACTCCTAAACTGCCAGTGCCTTTCATTCCAATTCTGCAGCTGGCCTCTGCTGTCTGCAGTGCCACACTGCACTTGCAGAAAATTCATTGTTAGACTGTTAGTTGGATTATACACCAGACCCCAAGGTGTGACCTTCGAATACCAGCACACAGCCAGAGGCAGTTGCTCGAGGGAAAACAAGACCGATCAGGAAAGAAAAAATGAAAAAATGAAAAAATGAAAAATACAGCATCTCTTATAGATGTTTATGAAAGCCCAAGGCACTGCGGTCATTAACGGGCACAAGGGGGGTGGGAGAGGGAGGGAGAGAGGGAGGGAGGGGGGGGGGGGGGGGGGGGGGGGGGGGGGGAGAGAGGGGGAGGGGGGGAGGAGGGGGGGAGGAGGGGGGGAGAAGGAGGGGAGAAAGAGGGGAGAAGGGCATTCCATGTTGTTGACACCCAACCATGTCATCTGCAGGATGAAAAGGCAGAATTACAGTCTGGCTCATCATTAAAAAAAAAAAAAAAACGCAACCCTTACACTCATTTGAAATTTGATTTAATGCAAGTATGCGGACTTTCAACCACCACATGAACAGGCAGACTAGATCCAACTAGAGCATCAGCTCTACCAAACCTTCAGAATGCAAATCAATTTGGAACTTCTGTTCCACACCCTCAGCATCGTCACACCGATATAACCACTGCAAATAATGCAACGAGCCAGATGGACTGGGCAAGGGGAACTTCGTCAAGTACTCACCAGCCAGACAACGCGCACAGCAACCAAGCAAACAATAGGAAAGAGATCACACAAGACTCTACTGGCTGCTTGCTCCTTTCACATGGAAGACCCAACAGATCAAGAATAGAAATAAACAATGTACTAATATAGTAACCAAAGAATAGACAGAAACAATATAGAGCAACCAACCACTCACACAGCAACCCAGCTCTCAGACGGAAGACGGAAGACGCTCATGTGAGAAACCCATCCACCCAAATACGCAAAGCCATCTAAGGATTGGCCATTCTCACAACATAAACACTGGACCTTTTCCCCAACCCCACTGTCTCTCCTCGCTGCATGCACTGACTCGACATGTCTTTTAAAAACCTGATTCATTGTTCTGTTCTTTTGGAGAGAACTCCCACAAAGGCTTAAACCACGACTCTCTGCTAGCCCCTTTTCCCCCCCGTGCGGTAACTACAGGGGTGGCTTACAGGCTTGGTAGAGGATTCTAAAGAGGCCAGTGTGGGGACAGATTTGAAAACAATCATCAACCTCCAAACGGATTCAAACCACAACCAAACCTGCTGGGCGCCTTTTTATTGGCAGTAACTAAAGCACCCAACAGGCTTGGTCGAGGTTTGGAAAGAGGGTTGTAAGAGGGGCAGCCATTATGTCAGCTAATACGTCAGAGCCAAACTGGTCGGCTGTTTAACATTGTGCATCCGTGGAGATCAGCCTGACCCCGGCCAACCGTATCCTCCACCCTTCCCAGTGGCACCTCCCCTCCCTCCCAGACTTGAACCAAAATAAGGGAACCAAAACCTCTGGTTCAGCTACTTCAGTGTAAGGATGTCTCAGAATAAACCTACCAAGTTACCATCAAATGCAAGAATACACATCAAAACTACAATCTACAAAAACTTTGCTTCTGTAACCCTTCATGTGCCTCTCTCAGACAATACTTTTCAGGAAGGACAGAGAGCGAACTCCTTCATGTCAGTGTGACCCAAGCGCCCATAAAAATATTGTGAAAGAGTTGAAATCCTAGCGCATACTTGTGGCACTTCTCATACCCAGTCTACCCGACCAACCAGTTCCTCTTTCACTCACCTTCACCCGAGTATGTTAAGGTTATATCCCTGCACAAAGATGATATGCATGAGTCAAGAAACAGTCCAAGGAAAAAGAAGAAATGATAGACGTTTCAAAGTGAGCACTTTCCCATACTGGGCTCCATCAGTTACTTTTTTTTTCTCTCCACTCAGTTACTTACCGACTTGTGCCGACGAAACGGCTTCTTCAAGGAGCTAGAAATCTTGTGAACCCTGCTAGGAGCCTTGAATGAGCCACTTTCATCACTCCCATCACTATCCCTATCTCTGTCCCTTGATTGAGATGGCGATAGACCTGGAGTATGGTGGTTTTCGCAGTGCCAGACTTGAAAGAGGAACACCTTCATGTCACTGCGCAAGGCACAAAAATTGTGACTTGTCAACATAGACATGCACTTCTTCAATATGTCAATACAGAAGACTGCAAAACCAAAATTCAATGAAAAACAAACCAGTTTTTGCCCAATCCAGCACCATCCAACCTCAGCTACAACCTCTCTCTCTCTCTCTCTCTCTCTCTCTCTCTCTCTCTCTCTCTCTCTCTCTCTCTCTCTCTCTCTCTCT